AGGAAAATGATATAAAGATAAAAGAAAAGACATAAAAGCATACCAGAAAATCTCTGGGAATTTATATATTGAGTGTCTCTTTGCCCAAGACTACTCTTGGAAAATGCCAGTCTTAAGGGTTGTTATTTCAGAAAATCAGAAACCATTGAGTGAGACAAAACCTTAAAAGAAAACTACTCTAGCAAGGGTCCAGTCTGGAAATTATGCTGATGTCGACCTAGCCCAGTGCCCTGAGCACCTCAGCCCCTCCACCACAGTCTAATCAATCCTCTCCATACTGTATCCTCCACTCTCTTCCTTCTACCCTGGTAGCATTCTACAGTGAGCCTTCTTGGGTTTGATTTAGTTTTGTCAGTTCCTTTACTACATTCCTCTATATACTATGTGAGTGAAATTACCTGGTATTTGTCTTTCTTCTGACTTATTTCACTTATTTTATAGTTCTGTCTAGTGGGAAATACCTTTTTGTGACAAATGACAAGAGTTCATTTTTCATAGCTGAGTAGTATTCCATATACTACTCAAACATATACTATTCCATTTCTGTTCAAACAGAGGGATAATTAAGGATAAGTGGTGTGGGTGTGGGTGTGGGTGTGTGTGTGTGTGTGTGTGTGTGTGTGAACATGTGTTCATTAAATACAAATTGTTTTAGTGGAAACTTTGATCAGCTTTAAATTTTTTTAATAAGGAAATATGCACAGCAAGGTGCTACAGATATAAGAATATTATGAATAAATTTAAAGTTTTTTTTTTCTCTTAACTATTGAATTCATAAGCCTTAGATTTCCCCTTATTCCCAGAAATGCTCACTCTTTCCTGAGAGCAACCCACACAACAATGTTTACATACCCAAGGATTATGTGAGGGAATTTGCAATACATACCTATACATACCTGATGGGTTCACTTGTCAGTTAAGTAAAATTAAGTCAACAGTAGGCAACTGTCTGTCTCCTTTAAAAACATTTTAGCTCTTGATTTTTATGTTGACAATTTAAAATTGAGGAATTAGGGCATATTTCTCAAAATTTCCTCTAAGATCTCTACTGCTTCTTCTCTATCCTATAAAGATGACCCAACTCTTGTGGTATTATTTCTCAGTAGGCATCATAAGCATAATCTGTTAGTAGCTTTATTCTAACCCCTGAACTACATGCACATCAATTTCTTTACCTCTTGTATAGTTAGACAGAGACAGAAATCCACAGCAATGTTAGGTGAAGGCCTTTTTACACAGAAAGAGAGAATATCATTGACAGTTTCTTTTTCACTTTCCCTTTGTTGGCTTGGTATAATGCAGCCATTCCCTTGCAGCAGGGTAAGTGTTGTGAAATCCATAATGCTTCATTATCTGTCAGCTTTCTCTTCATTGTAACTGCTTTCATTTTCAGTGTCTCATGTAAATAGGCTGATCCTGCTTTGCATAAGCATGTTGATTTATATGAATGCTATTTTGATCTCAAATTGATTGAATACCAAAAAGAAAGATGAAGGGAAAGAGCTCTGTATTATGAAGGTCTCACATCAAAGACAAAAGACACAAATCACATACACCCATTTTGTGATGGGGAATTTCAGATTACCTAGTTTCTAAAAAAATATTCCTAAAAAGAAATTATTATAGTGGGACTCTAGTGTTTCTAGTACTATGGATTAAACCAATTACATTTCAGAAACAGGGCTCCACCCAGTAGAAGCTTGTGTAATGCAAGAAGACATAAAGTTTAGTCCTGTCTGTCGACACCAGCAATTAAAAAGCTTTAGTGTTATTTATGATTCTATATCTATGTCAACAATGAAAGAAAAGTTAATATTCATAGCTCTGGGTCCTAACTATGCTAAGTGCTTTCTAGGAATCACACTAGTTCATTTCATTTTCTTTCTACACCCCCACACCGGTGTGATTGCTGTCTCCCATTGGTGCGCAGTAATTAATTGGCAACTTGCTGAATTTTTATTTTATTACATCTTATTGTACTTTCCTTCTGGTTCTCTTCCCCATCCATTGTGACCTCTATTAAAATTCTATATGCCTTTGTTGAATTATTTAAATGAGGAGGCCATTAGGCTGAGGTGTCTCTAATGCCAAGGGGCCTATCAGGCAAACCAAAATCTAAGTCTGGAAATATCTCCAGGGTGCAAAATCAAAGCATTAAAGACAACCAATCACAAACAGGGTTTAAGCTATAGCCAATCAATATTTCCTTTCTTAACTATCTGTGTCGCCTCCATATACCCCTTTCCTTGGCTCCTAATTGCTTTCAGTTGGGCGCTCCCCCATGAGAATCAATTTTTGCTCAAATAAACTCAAAATAGTTCCTATGCCTCAATTTAGTCTCTTAGCACCATACATCACCCACCAAAGCCTTACTCTTGGCCAAGAGTTAGCTATAAATATCTACATCTTAGTGGTATTTCTTTCTAGGAATATTTTTTATTTCAAACCTTATCACTTGAAAGGTCCCCCTAGCCTCCACCCACTTGTAGGAAGATATTTGCAGATAAAGAGGTTAGTCTGGAACAGGCTGAGCCAGACTCTTCCTCGGCAGTGGTGAAATCTGACCTCATCAATATCCTTCCCTACCCAGCTGTGCTGTAATATTGACCCCAGACATTTCAAAAGGAATGAGAAGATCAGTGGCTCTTATTCTGACCTGGACTCTGGTTTCCATGAAGTCTGGCTCCCCCAGACTCAGTTTCCTGCTCCTTCCTCCCATGTGCACCCCCTGGCACTAGCAGGCAGGCCTACCCATCCTTGCAATCAAGCAGCCTTCCACTAAGCCAGGATTGCAGGTGTTGGCCTGGAAATGAGTCCTTTGATCTTCATGAGTAGCTAATGTGTAGGTGTGGTGGCATAGAGTCAAAGCACTGGCTCAGGAAAGAGACGTACACAAATTTATCAAGGAGCAGTTTTGTTGAGGAACAGAATTCCAGTGCCAGCAGTTGTGGCTTCCGTTACTTGGAACAAGGATCAGCTTTTCAGAGTCTCAATTTCCTCATCAAAGGGATTCCATGAGACCTGCTTTGACTCCCTGATGAGTTGTGTCCTGAGGACTACATCAGCTAACATACATTAAGGTGCTTTTGTAGGGCCTTCCTGGTGGTGCAAGGGGTTAAGTATCAGCACTAGGGAGCTCTCCAAAGCCACTGCAGCAGAAGTTCAATCCCCAGCCAGGGAGCTGACCCACATGGCATGGCAGACCTCTCCTGACCCACCTGCTGCTCCTCTCAGCAGTGTATTTCAATCCATCTGCTTGTTCTGCTCCCCACTCTGTCTCTGGTGAATCTTCTCACCCCCACCCTCCCAACCCCCACAACTCTGGCCTACACCCCAGCTCTTGTATGCATAAGTAAATAAAAAAAAATATTTTAAGTTAAGCTAAAAAATAAATATTTTTTAAGAAATAAAGTGTTTTGTAAAATAGTTTATAGAAAAGGGACGATTATTGGGCAAACAGTGAGAAAATGCGCAGGGACACCAAGAAGAGCAGGTTTAGCGACGTAAGTGGGTGAATGGTCAAGTTTCCCAAGGGAAATCTGGCAGAGCTGTCAGCAAGGGCCCAAGACTTATATTTGGCAGCAACTCATGAGCAGTTCTCTAGCAGAAGGTTCGCTTTTATGAAAGAATCCACCAAAAATTTAAATTGTTCAAGATTTATTCTCTTGTGTCTCTCATTGAAGCAAAAGCAAAACAAACAATAATGAGATGAAGCTCTTACTTCAAAGTTTTCTCCCACAGTTTTTTTCCCAAATACCCCCTATTTTAACCATTTGCATGCTTTTCAGCACTGCATACTGGAACGTGGGTACAATGAAATACATAAGTTTTCCACATTCCCTTTAGACTCTCAAGGCAGAACAACAGCAGAGGATGCTGCGTGTTTTGATGGTGGTGACACACATCCAAGGTGTGAACCTGTACCCTGTGTCAGATAACAATGCAACTTTAAAAAATATAATAAAAGCTCAGGGCAAAATTAAGTATAAATGAATATCTTCATATTTGTGTGTGTGTGTATGTGTGTGTGTATGTATATGTGTGTGATCTATACATATACATATATATGAAATTACCAAATATTATATATCATATATATGATATACATATATCATATATGTGATATATATTATATATGTGCTATGTATCATGTGTGTGATATATATCATGTATATTATGTGTACTATATATCATATGTGTGTACTATATGTATCATATATATCATATATATGTGATATATACAATATATATTATATATATGAAGATACTAAATAACAAAAAAAATCTTGAAGTTAGACTTACGTAGCACGAAAGATTACTCAGGGATAAGTCTGCCTTTTCCTAAATAGGCAGACCATCCTCTTGTATTGCCATTTCGATCTATCATTCTGATTGATCACTGTGGAGTTAGCTATTACTGGGCCTAATTTAACCCTTCCACTCACACATCCATCTCCTCGGTCTATTGTACCTGACACTCTACAAATTAGGTAGTCATGCAAATAACGACCTAAGGCAACCTTTTAGGATATTCATGTTTAATTATACAAATGGTTCTTGATAAATAAGATTATACCTCCTTCCAGATGTTTATTCCCAACTTGATGAAAGGAAAATTTAATTTCCATGCAGATTTGGTGGGCGCAGTGTTAGAAGTGCTGAGTTTTGTGCAGTCGGCAAATCCATCCAATTCACAGAAGCTGACAAAAATGCTGTGTTCCTGCTCCGCAACAGCAACCCCTTCAGGCTTCAGTCAGTCTGTTCCTTCTGAAATCAGGTCCCCTAATTGGCACCCTCTGGGTTCATATGGTCAAAGGCAAAAAAAAAAAAAAAAAAAAAAGAGGAAGAACCTATCACCTGTCTCCTTTGTGATGAGAAAAAGCTGCAAGATCAAAGTTTATCTCCACTGGTGCTGTGTAGTTGTTCCCTGGTTGCCAACTTTTTCCCCCCAGCCTGAGTCTATCTTGCTTTTGACTGGTCTTATTGATTTCTCTTTGGAGGTCTGGGCAGTGAATTCAGCAGGAAAAGCTACCAGTAACTGGACATGGTGCAGAACTGGGCCAGCACCTCCAGAAGGACTCGGGGCCCCCAAGTTCCATGCAGTTTCATCCACCCAAGCAGTGGTGAACATCAGCACCCCCAGGACACCCAACGGGATCATCAGCCTCTACAGGTTGTTCTCCAACACCAGCGGGGTGGAGAACGTGGTGAGCAGCGGAGCATTCCAGGAGTGGCTGGTGTTAAAAACCATCCTGCCATACCCCGCCTTCCTCTCCTCCTTGATCCTTCTTTCTCACCCATCTATTCTCAATGGCCTGTGGTGACCTCAGCACAAAGTTCCCTCTGAGAGAAATAGGGATCTCTTAAGAAACACGCAGAAAACACTTCTCAGAGGAAGAAGTGTTAGAGGCCATAGAGACCCCACCAAGGTTATAAGAAACCTAAGACTTCAAACAATCAAATTAATTAAACTAGAAAGCAGATCAAGCACTAGTGGCATAGAGTAAGGTCCAACCAAAGGTCCTGGTTGGTAGTGTAAATGTTAATATGAAAAAGAGAAAAATAACAAAGGATATCCCCAAACCCCCATGTGGGTGTGTGCAAATTTCTAATAAGACCTCAAGAAAGTTCTAGACAGCCTCAACAGTACACCTATGGCACCACTGTTTCTGGAAAAAATATGGCCAGGTTTGGGGCACACTGGGGAGACAGGATGGGCTGCTGCTGGTGTCATCTTTCACTGCCATAGCCATGCTAAGGGCTGGAAGGGGCAGCGGCCACAGCTTGCCCAGCTCCTGCATTATTTAAATGAGAAACAAAGAGCCAGTGGGTCAAGTCTGTTTTCTCTGTGGCTCAGCTTATGTCGCCCATGTTTCTCATGAAAAGTATAGATTATAATACTATTCACACAAGCCTCCTAGAGAAATGTTGCAGATCCCAGTATTACATTATAAATTATTTAGACCAATTTAAGGAACAATTTGGGCAACTGTGGAGAAATCCTCTGAGGCCTGGGTATTAGGTATTGAAACACAATTTTCAAAAGATAACTCGCCTACAAGGAAGTCTTGTATTGAATGTTAAAGGAATATTAGCATATTTCCTACAGGGCTTCGTATTCAATAAATATAGATGATGTAAATACAATCAGCCCTTGATTATCCATGCTTATAAAATGATAATATTAATAAACTAAAATAATTTATCTTTGGAATGCATTGTATGCATTTTTTTAAATAATAGATAGTGCTTCTTAATTATATGTTGCTTATATCGATGTGAAAATTAGTTTCCAGTTTCTGAACTCTTCTGTTTCAAAGAGTATTTGATAGAATCACCATGAGATAAATAAAATTACTACAGGTAGGCTAAAAGTTTATAATGCATTAAAGATGACTGGGAAAAAGACTAAACTGGTTTCTTTAAACCAAAATCCTCAGAGGAAGAGATGGACTTTGAAATTGCTAAGTTTATATAAATATAAATAAATATATATAATGTAAATATATGAAATCTTTATTTTAAACTGTGAAATGCCCTAGATAACATAGATTTTAGGGAATTTTTGACCTAAAATGTACATGCAAGTAACAGTGGCAACATAGCACCTTAGTGAACATTGACTAGAAATATAAACCAAATCCAGGTTTTCTTTTTTTGAAAGACATCATTCTGAGATAGGATCACACAGTTGGTTCAGTACTTCGTGTGTTCTGTGCCACTTTCTAATATCTGTAGTAACAGTAATTAATTATGTGATACTTCACAATTTCTGTCCTGTTACTTCAAACTTCTTTTTGTTATGTCATTCCATTTTGGGCATGTTGAAGTCCTATCTCTCTGGCTGGATTGGTAGTTCACTGAGGACAGATACTATGCCGAATGCCCTGTTATATCTGCCGAATGCCCTGTTATATCTCCTGGACTGGCTGATCTCCCCAAAAGGACCAGATAAGCTTTTCTCAGTACTCACAGGCAAGGCCTCTTGCCACCGTGAGTGGGAACAAGGTGAGCTAGGGCCCATGCCTGAGGTCTATTCCCATGACTGAAAACCTCCAGATTATTTTGGGCTGAGAGCAGTGAGGCCCCAAAGACTAGGAGAAACTTCTTTCCTTATCTCAGTCCTCAGCTCCTCCCTAATCCTAGTCAAAATCATTCCCTAAGCATCTGCCCCTTTTCCTAATGGGAGAAGAAATCACTGTTCCCTCCTTTATGACCTAAAAGAGTATCGTTTGGGGGTCTCAGGCAGGTGCATATTATCAGTGAACATGTTTTCTCAATATAAGAATCCCATGTGTACCCCTAGAGTAAGGGTGAGGTCACCCCCACCTTTTCTGTCATCTAAATCTTCATCCTTCTTGATACCCCAGTTCCCTAAATGCAGGATGTTATCTCTGTTGTGCTCTTCTGTTCTTTCAAATGTATAACCATGCAAATATGGGAAGTTTAATAATGTATTGCTAACCTGTAAGTCTACTGCTAACCTATTTGTACTACTGTCTTGATGACTCATTCAGCCCAAGGAGAACCCAGAGGGGTACTGTTAATCGGGTACTGTCAGTCAGGTAACCACTCCAACAGAGGGGCACTGAGGGGCACCCCTGGATCCCAAACTTGCATGTTCTAAAGAAGTTCTGACATCTGTCACATAAAGACCCTTACTGTGAAACTGTGAAATAACTTTAATAGAAGTAATGTCCATAGAGAAAAAAGAAAAGAAGAAAGAATATTCTGAATAAAACACACAAAGTTACCCATTCTCTTGTGATTAAATGCCTGACCAACAGGGGTGGTCCAAAGTGGGGCCACTGAGGCCCAAAAGTTTACCACAAGTCTAAGGTATCTTCAGGAGGTGAAACATAGGAAAGAGAGAGAAGGGGCCAGGAAAGTCTAGGATGAAAGGAGCAAAATCAAAGGACAAATCAAGGTAGCAGCTGCCACTGTCAGTCTCCCCATGTGTCTCCCACCCACATTTCTCTTTCAAAGTGTCTCTACATATCACTCCTCCATTTATCTCTTTCATGTCCCCCAAGCTCCCGGGGTGAGTTCAAAGCCAAGATGCAAACGCTCCCTTTTACTTCACATGTCTCTCTCCTGTATGTGACTCCCTTCCCTGGCTCCTCTTGTCTTCTAATATATCTTCACCTGTTGGCTCAATTCCACCCCTCATGGAACCTCCCCTTTCTTAAGGAGATCTCTCTCTGTGAGGATACAGGATTCTTTTTTTACTCCTTAACACAAGTGTGGCATTCACTTCATAGAAGTTGATACACACGACATTTGTCATTGTCTGCTTTGTGACACTCTCTCATCTAGCCCTCTGTCCCCTACAGCTGTCTGAAGGCACAGCCACCCAGCAGACCCTCCACCACCTGCAGCCCTTCACTACCTACTCTGTCGGTGTAGAGGCCTGTACCTGCTTCAGCTGCTGCAGCAAAGGCCCAACAGCCCAGCTGAGGACTCAGCCTGCTCCACCCTCCAAACTGTCCTCCCCTCAAGTAAAGACACTGGCCTCCAGGATGGTCTCCTTCCAGTGGAGCGCCCCTTTTCTCCCCAATGGTGTCATTCAAAGGTAATGGGCCAGCCAGAAAGACAAGCCAAAGACTTGCATCCAAGCACAGGGAGACCGAGCACTTCCCAGGGAACAGTTGCTTGTTGAAGAGATACCTACAGCAAAATAGGCAAATAGATGCTGTTTGTGCTGCATACATACTATACAACATTCTGGGACAGTCCCCCCACAACCCCACCTGCCATACACCTCCACCCCAGTCTAGCAGCCAAGAGACCAAAGCCATCTGCACAGACTTGCAGTCAGAGCAGGTTCCACCTGTAGCCTGTGCAGAGTGCTCGCCGAAGGTACACCCCTCACACACACACTGGTGACCAAGGAGTCAGATAAAAATGGCTTTAAGATGCAAGTTTAATATTTGCATCTCTGCTAGGCAGTCTCCAGAGAGGAAGAGACTAAACCCCAGCATTTGCCCTGCTCTGTGCATTAACAGACCTTTAGGTCAGACAGCTTGGACCTAGAAGCCTCTCCTGTCCAGAATAATTACACTGTTAATGCCAACAATTGACTCACTGTTCCTACCTGTATAAACTAAATTCGAAGTTGTGTTTGTTGAAGCAGTTGTCACAGAATGAAACCTGTTTAACTAGTTCTCAGGTTCGAATTCTCAGTCTGGAATCTTTAATAAACTCACTCAGTTCTTTTCACCCCCAACTGATTTAAGACGACAGTGCTGTCAACCACTGTGTGCTAGCGAGGTGAACAACATTGTGAGTAAATAAGAAACACAACACCAAGTGTTTGCAATCTTAGGAAGCATCTGCGCCACCTCATGGTTCCCTAGAACATTCCTTCTACAGGTCTTAGCAGGAACACAAGAAAGTTCTGTGGCTATTGCCTTGATCTAATTGAAATTGATATAATGAAAAAACAATGGCACTGTTTGAAACAACAAAGCACTTGATATAAAATAATCTGGAGGAGAAAAGAGAGGGGCAGTGTTATCACTCTCCTCTAAAAAGAGAGAAATTGCTTATCTCTGCCAACAAGGATGCCAGGGTGATTCTCTATCATTTCACTGTTCACATTCGCTGCTCATTCCCAACAGTATTAAGTAAAGGGTTGCTGAGAGCAGATCTCTGCAAATGAGAATTTCAAAGAGTTTGGAATTCAGTGCAACCAAAATGCCTCCTTCCAAAATAGAAGCAGTTTACAAAGACAGCCACACTAATTTCTCTTTACATGTCCATTCTCCTTCAGCTATGAGGTCCAGCTCCGACTGGACTGTCCTCCTGAGTCAGCCACCGCTTGCACTCCCGGCCAGCCAGAGACCAAATACGTGGGACCTGAGCAGAGCACCAGCCTGGGGGGGCTCCAGCCCTCCTCCACCTACAAGGTGAGGGTGGTGGCCCACAACGAGGTGGGCAGCACCGCTTCCAAATGGATCAGCTTCACCACCCGAAAGGAAGGTCAGTACCACTGGCTGCCATGGTCAGTCGGGGGGGGGGAGAGGGAGGGCCAAGAGCCTCTTGACTATTTTGATGTAATTGAACATGGTCAGGATGAGGTAGCTGTAACTGCTGATGAGTTTGACTGCTCGATCCCACCGTCGTCAGGAAGCTCTGAAATCCCACAGGCAAGTAGAGCTCCTGTCACTGGACATTCCAGCCATCTGCAAGTCTTGTCTATATTTGTGCTATTTCCGCATCAGGGAGAAGTGAAATCTGTTGAATGAGGTGACAGAAAGAAGTCACAGACACAAAGCACAGTAGGTGCCATTGTGATGGGTGACAACAATTGTGTTGGAAAGACACAATAATAAAGCTGTTATTTAAAGAAACTATATAGTTCTTGTTTCGTAGTTACAGAAAAATTTCTGAAAATAACTTACCTCGAAAGATAGAAATCAACCTTCTGCTCATGGCTGAATCTTAGGACCAAAGAGGCAAAATCATTCCTTCTGTTGTAATATGATCAAACGTCAGCCCCAGGATGGACTTAATTTTTTTTTTTTTTAGATTTATTTATTTATTCATACAGAACTGGAGTATAGGCCAGAGGTGCAGGGGTGGTGAGAGGCTTCACCAGAGACAGAGTGCAGAACAGGCAGATCAACGAAGTACACTGCTGAGGGGAGCAGTGGGGGTCAGGAGAGGTCTGCGGCGCCATGTGGTCACCTCCAGGACCCATGCCAATATGGCTTTAACTTCTTAGTGCTGTGCTTTAACCAGCTGCGCCACCAGGGAGGTCTCTGGACTTAATTTTTAAAGAAACAAAGATATCCAGATCATTTCCACACTCCTTTCTTTTTTTAAAAGTCAATTTCGTGTCTAAATGGATCTTAATGCTGTTACAAATATATTGATTATTTTGAAGAAAACTGTCCCGTGAAGTAAATCTCTTCTGACTTGACATATTGATATGGGACCCCTTCATTTATTTCTTCAAATATTATTCATTTAGAGGATGAGCCTCAGTGAGGGGTTGTTTTTCCTCAGTGTTAGTAAGGAACTGAAAAATGAACAGAGACCTGCTGTAAAAGGCACACAAAGTTGCTTCTGTATCTGATATAATACTTAGGTGACCTGAGCTTGATTATATCCTAATGTACTATGCTATTGATTGATTAGTCAGGACAATGAATTATTATACTTGAATTGCTGTTTGCAAGGCTTTTTAACTCTCACAGAAAACAAACTAACGGCTCAAGAAAAAAGCTTTAAAAATGAATGGGTACCAAAAGGACATAATTCACCATCTAAGCAGTTTGGTTTAGAGAAAAAAAAATTCACTTCATCTAGTCCTTGGGGCTTTGTAGCAATAAATATTGATTTGATATGAAAAATAGCTATCTACGGTAGTTAATGGTGTTAAGGATACTTTACCTGTTAAAAGAGAGAAAATGCAACAAAATATGAGCTCCGGGGTTATGTCGGTGAAGAGAGCCATTGTATGTTAATAGTTTTATTTTATGAAACACTGCTCACCATTGATTTTTTTTTTTTTTTTTGGAAGGCAGGAGGTACAGTGCTGCTGAGAAAGCATTTCACACTTTCCCATGGGTTTTCTTTCAGCCCCCAATGCCAGTTTTTGGTTCATTTCTTGTTTGGATTTTTTTTTCTGTTTTGTATTTACTCATCTTTTAAAAAACAGACACCACACTCAGAGGTTACTGGTTTTAGAACATGCACCTTTCTCCCAACAGTACCACAGGTTCGAGCCCCGGTGTGGGTGAACAGCAGCGCATCAACAGTGTGTGTGAACTGGAGCGGCACCTTCCTTCCAAATGGCCGGCCGAAGGAGTTTGTTCTAACGGACAGAGGGCAGCGCCTGTACAGTGGCCTCGACACCACCTTCTGTCTTCCAGGAACTGCGGACAAAAGTTAGTTCCTAATCCCGCTTCTCAGTGCCCAAGGAGCTCTCTTCCCTTCCTTACCTCTGGGAGCTGACTGGCAGATGCGTGTCATTCGGACAACGTCGTCCAAGTGACCACTTCTCGGGGCAAAGTTACTGCTCCCAGGAAAGGTTTCCTTCCCATTCATTGCCTTGAGTGCTCTGATGATTCTTGCAGTTCTGATGATTTGTTGCAGTTCTGATGATGCATCTGCAGTTCTACTGATATATCTGCAGCTCTGGCGGTGCATTTCAGTTTGGATGATGCGCGTGCCATTGTTCTGATGGTGTGTTGCAGTTTGGTTGATGCACCTGCAGGTCTGATAATGCGCTGCCGTCAGTGTTAGAGCTCTGATGATGCACTGCAGCGTGGACCTTACATCCATAGTGGTCCTGAGGAGGGCTGCAGTGATGCTGCTGCTGTCCTCAGGGACATGGGCCTCTGTGTGACTGCAGTGTGCTCACCCTGCACGAGGCACAGGGCAGGCTGTGCTCACAAGTAGTGAGTATCCTGAAATTATCACTTCTAGGGGCTTCAGGGATTTTCTGGAAGCCTCTGCAATCTCCAAACACAGCCTGGTCACACAGTTACCTCCAAAGGTTAAGAATGATGAGTAAGGGATTTCCTTAACCAACTGTTTGAGGGATTTCCTTAAACAACTGTCTGTTCCTGAAATAAGCTTTTCTCTCTAAACCAAAGTCTTTTTTGCAGTTTAATTACATCTCTTTCTCCTCTTAGCTGTTTTAAAATTAAAGCGAGGGACAGTGAGGGGGACATAATTATAACAAAGTAAAAATCAAAATCAGCTATAAAGCAGAGACATTCTTCCAGGGGGAGGAGGAAATTGGATCAAAGAGGGGTGGGAAGACCACAAGGGCCTAAGGTGAGGCTGTGCTGGAGAATTGGTGCTGGGAATTTCTTGAGGACCATACAGAAGATGATAAAGCATATGTTGGATAAAAGTGAAGAATGGTGATAAATATATATATAATATTATAAAAATAAATAAAATCCTATTTCCACTGTTGCAAAAAAAAGAGGTTGGAAAGGCTTTACAAGGGACTAAGCATTTTCTGGCCATCAGCACGGGCACAAAAATGAGAGCCATTTAAAGCGATCTAGATTCATACCGTGAATTCTTTAATTTTCTTGAAAATGCTATTTCTTTTGCCTAGAAAGTTCTTTTGCCTAGAAAGGTGAAGGTAAGTCATGAGCTCCAGCAGTGTGCATTTAGAGCATTTGAAACTCACAGCGCTGTTTCATGGTTTTTAAGAGGCAGCCAGCGGGGAGGGAAAGGCCCCAGCTGAGAGGCGGGCTCTGCTCTTCCCTGTCTCCACCAGCTGCACCACCCGAGAAGGGCCACTTCCCTCAGGTCCCTGCTGCGAAAGGCATCAGGCCTTGTGATCTCCCGTTAGTAGATTAAAAGATTATGGGTAGAACTCAATTTAAAAAATGTTGTATAAAAATTATTTTTTATTTTTTAAGCTAAATTACTTGGTATTAGTAGTCAATCATAATGTTGTTTTTTTGTTTTTTGTTTTTTGTTTTTTTTGCTACGTAAACCCTAAGCTTCTTGAGTTCCTTTACTTACAGACGTGTTCTCATGGCAATGGTGCTAGCCACTTCTCTTGACTATTTTTCAATCAGGAATAAGTTTGCCTGTTAGGTAAACCTTACCACTTGCTCTGCAATTGTGTGCTATGGGGCAGGACTCTGCTGAGAGACTGCCCACTCGTGTCGGTGTTGGGTGACTGAGTTATACACCCTTTGTCCAGCCTTTGTCTTCCAGGTGACCTGTGTTACAGATGAAGGAAGTGTGAAAACCCCTTTGATCCAATATGATGCTTCTGCTGGGTTTGGTAAGCATTTACATCATAATGTATTTTCTGTAGCACTTACTCTGTTTTCTGAAGAGATATACATATGTTTGCCATACATACATGTGCCGATATATTTACACAGACTGTGTGCAAGGAATCGTGCTAAGTGTTGTAAAAAAAAAAAAAATATATGTCTACATGAAACTTACTTTAGTTAAGGAATTAGGACATACTATTAAAATGCCAACCTGTTGAATTGTAGATATAGAGAGATATGACCAAACTTCTCTCCTAACCACGTATTCTGTCAATAAAGAACTATATTACTTTGTTTACACACAAAAAAAGTAATTTATAGAGAAAGTCAGAGGAGAGAGCAGAGGATGATCTAATGCCTATATATGTTGATCATAATGTAACATTCCAGACATAGGGCCTAGGGCTCTAGGAAATTTCTGTATTGTGTCCTCTATGAAACATTATGATTGACTACTAATACCAAGGAATGTAGCTTAAAAAATAAAAAGTAATTTTTATACAACATTTTTTAAATTGAGTTCTACCCATAATCTTTTAATTGAACATCTATGACCCTTTACAATTTCAAAGGCAAATTAGAGAAATGTCAAATCTCTTCCATTAGAACAGATTGGGACTGATGTCCTATATTAAACTCCAGCAAGTACTGTTACATCAAATTTGTCTGTATCTATAGCTGGGGTCATTTTCTTGGTGGGAAAGGACCACACCTATTATTGCCAAAGTCTCAACCCCTAAAATTACAGCAGTGTGAGTTTGTGTTGCCAGAGTTTACCTGGCCTGGGTGACAGATTATTTCTTCCAACACCTAGCACTCCTCCCTCGGGATCTCTCTTATTTTATTCAACGGGATAGAGCATAGAGCAGGCCTCATCTGGTATTTCTTTAGCAATTACAGGTGTCCACAAGGGGACAAAGGGGGACCCAGGGGAACAGTGAACTTGCCCTAGAATCTTCCAATAAAGCCAGCTCATTGCTAAGAAAAGAACTGAAATGTGGTTTTCTGTTGACTCCTGGCCCCATACTTTTTAAATGTTTTTAGCAATGGCTTTGAAATTTAGGTGTGCGTCAGAATTATCTCAGTGTGCTTGTTTATTCCATGGCCTCCCAGGCCCTGGCAGAGATTTGGAATCAGCTGGGTACAGGAATCAGATCCCTAAACAAGTCCTGTCCATTTATTCGGATGCAGGAGCCAAGACCACATGTGAGAGAAACCCCAGGAGCTAGGCACCCCCACCATCAAAAACCCCATCTAGTCTCTAAGACAGTAGGTCTTCCCTGGGGCAGCAACTCACAGGGAGGCATTGGCTGGCCCAGGACTGCCTGGGGTCTCTCTCTATAGTCTCCGCCCCTGGGCTTCCCCATCCCGTGGGTGGACTTCCCACTACATGAGTGAAGTCCCTCAAATCAAAAAGGACTTTGAAAAGATAAAAAGAAGGGAAGAGAGGTGCCTTCCTGATTTAAGCTCTTCATAGAAGAGAAACCTCCTACTGTTCCTGAACACAAATTGAGGTTTCCATTGCAGAGAGAAGGAACACCCACCGAGGACCTGCACGGTTATAGGAAATTTCTAGATGCATTGTCCCTGAATACCCAGTCTCTTTTCATTTGAACATACACCTTTTTCAGTGTTTCTGTTCCTTGCGTGAAGGGGCCTTCCATCAGGAAGTGCCTGCAGTGGCTCCCTCCAGGGCCTTCCCTCCTGCAGGCTGCCTGTGTCCTCCCCAGCAAGGGGCCCACTGGGGCCTTCAGGTCAGTTTCTGGAGTTACCGGCCTGTGCTGCATCCTGAGGAAACAACGCTTCCAGCCTGAACCTCCTTTACTGTTTATTTTCATCTCACCTCACACATGTCTTCCCTGCTAGGGGATCCTGACCTGCAAGAGCTTGAGCAGTTTTGACTCCGCCCTTCATTTTAGAGTCGGGGAAGAGGAGGCCCAGAGAGGCAGAGTGCTTGCTTGGCATGGAGGCCCAGAAGAGGCAACCAAGCCATCTCTGTCCTCTGGGGAGGTGAAAATTTAAATTTAGTCACATGGCTCTCCCTCCCTTAAACACTCTCCCCGCAGCTTGGCTCTCTTCCCTTGGCGCTTCCCCTGAAGATGTGGGTGCAGTGCCCAATAAGCCAACCCCGCCACAAGGAAGACAGGTTTTTGCCTCACTAAGCCCCGCTCCTGTCTTACTGATGAGCGACCCAAGCACCATGATGTCCAATGATCCCATGATTCCAGCGAGGTCTCCTGAGGCTCACTTTGGGTGGGCAGGAGATCTGGACCCTCCCCTTTACCTGGGGACCCCCTGTTACAGGATGAGGAGTCCTGTGATTAAAGCATTTCCCAGTACACCTGGGAGCAGTACTGGGTGGACTTTGCTGCATAAGCTAAAAGGCCAGGGATAAGCAAGAGAAAGGCCGTTAGCTAATATGGGCTGTTAGCATTGCGACAGAAAACAGGATCAGGTGTCTCTGAATCCAGTTTGCACAGAACTGCCTCAGGAACAGGGTGTCTTTGTGAAGCGAGAAGATCCTGGTTCCCAAGCTAAAGCATCCTCCCCGAAATTCAGATTTCTTCCCCCCTTTAGCTTCCTCTGAAGATCTGGGTATGAACACAGTGGGTGTCTGCAGCAATATTAGGAAGAACCCATTGCCAAAGAGTAACTGCTCTAAGAGCTCGGAACTGTGAGGCAGGAATTCATCCCTTTCCCCTCTGGCTTCTTCTAGATTGACAAACAAGCATCAGACACATGATAAAGGGAAAAAAGCCAAATTAGTTTAACTATAACATATTTCTCCTATCGGCATGGGGAGACCCGGTATGACTGAATAACTGCCCACATGGTTCAGATGCCATCTTAAGTAGCTGACCTAGGATAAGGAAGTGGAGAGAGAAAAGGGAAGTGGAGTTAGGGAGCTTACCAAGGAAGGCACAGTAAACACCAGTGGGCAGATTTAAGTTCTGGCTGATCACTGTAGGGGTAGGGAGATAATGGTCCCCCAGTACAGTGATGGAACCCTTTACAGAAACTTACACATAAAGGTCTTTTCAAAATCAGCCTCCCACCCTTGAGAGCCCCTTCCATGAAATCACCCTCTCCCCAAAGACTTATTTTGTGAAGACAGGTTTTTGCTTCACTAAGCAAAAACTTACTGATGATTGACCCAAGCAGCATGATGTGCAATGAACCCATTGATTCCAGTGAGGTCTCCTGAGGCTGTAAGGTTCTCCCTTCACAGACACACCCTGTGCCTCAGCCTGAGCACAAGTGCAAAGAAGCACCGTGAGAGACGGCCCTAAAGGCCTTTCCTGTTTACTGTCCAAAAACAGGGCCACACAGGTACTTTGGAAATAATGTTTCCCATTTCTGTCCCTCCATTCTGCAGGTCTGGTGCTCACAACTCCTGGAGAAAAGAGGGGATCAGGGCACAAAAACACAGAATTCTACAGAGAGCTATGGTTCATAATGCTGATGGCGATGCTGGCCTTGATCCTGTTGGCCATTTTCCTGTCCCTGATACTACAAAGAAAAATCCGCAAAGAACCATACATCAGAGAGAGACCTCCCTTAGTGCCCGTTCAGAAGAGGACACCTTCACTGAGCGTGTACCCACCGGGGGAAACCCACATGGTATGTCTCTAAGGATGACTCTGTTCCCTCGCTCTGATCTCCAATCCTTGCTTTCACTTGGAGAAAAATATTTCCAGAGCTATAGGAACAAGGGACTGGATGATACTTAAGTTTAGCTAAATGTGGGAAGCAAGGAGTTAGTCCTAGAATAGCATTCTCAGCTTGGCACATTTTTATATGCACAAACATATATGTATATACACGTGCACATGTGACATACCTTACATGCCTATACCTACACACAGAGATAGGAACATTGTACTCTCAGATAACAGAGGATGCCTGTATATCTATGTCTATACCTTGGGCTACATCTAAGATGTATAAATATATGGGTGAGTGGGTGGGTGGGTGGGTGGGTGGAAGAAAGAATAGGTAAGCAGGTAAGTAGGTAAGTAGATTGACAGGTAGGTAGGTAGATAGATAGCTAGACAGACTGACAGATAGATAGGTGGGCATTGATTAGCCTTTAAGAAAATACTAACTACTTGTACATTAAAGTGATAAAACTGTCAGTTGATACCAACCACTATTGACACAAACATCCTGACCCACACACCTCACATGCATCAGGGTTGTACTCTGGTATGGGTAGGATTATACTGTCATTGGAGAAACACAAAGAAAAGCATTTCTTTATACTGTTCTCCTGAGTGACGCCCCGTCCATTTGTTCTCAGTTTGATTCTGTGGCAGACCTATCTGACGTGTCCAGCAACGTCACCCTGAAAAGCTACACCATGCGCTTTGAGGTATTTCTGGTTGCTGCATGAACGCATGCTCTTTTGCACGGTGGGTTAACTGCTTAATAAGAAGCGAGAACATTCCACTGGTCCATCCTGATCAAGGCAGCTGCATTTTCTGATGGTGCATTCTCTGTCCTGGTTACAGAGTGTCCTTGTTCTCACATTTTGACATCAAAGCTGATTTATTTGGAGGCTGAAATCCTGTAACAAATGAAACTATACAGAGAGAAGGAAGAGGGAGGGAGGAGTCCATTTCTGTACACAAATATAGGATTTTGAAAGAACATAGGAGGACACTGTTAACTGTGCTCTGAGGAAGTTGTGTTCTTGTGTAGGCTCCATGCCCACCCCATGGGGTATTAACCCATCCCCCACCCCTCCACCCCACAAGTCATTTCTACAGGAAACAGTAGACAGGGCTGTAGTAGCTGAGCTCTGTAGGTACTGAGAGCAACACGGTCTAACAGATCTACTATTTAATCTCACCTTGCCAAGAAACCAATGCCCACAGCATTTCTGGAGTTCTCTGTTCTGCAGAAGGAAATGGATCCCATGCTCCCTTCATTGGCAAAGTGTAAGACAATTTTCTGTCCTGTTTCTTTAGAGATAGCTTCATCACCAACAGCAACCTTCTTTTGTTCAGGGATTAGCTGATACCAAGATCCCCCGATCTGGGACACCCGTGAGTGTCAGGAGCAACAGGACCTTATCTGTACTGCGGGTCCCCAGTCAGAGCCACGTCAGCCAAGCCTACTCCCAAGACTCCCTCCACCGCAGCATCAGTCAACTCATGGACATTCAAGATAAGAAAGTTCTGGTCGATGACTCACTGTGGGAAACCATCATGGGCCACGATAGTGGACTGGTGAGTCCAGTTCCCCCCACCAGAGCCTTTGCTAAGAGCTCTAGAATCTTGGTAAATAGTTAGAGAGCGTGCAGCTGCCTGGGCTGGTTGGATGATCCCCAGCACACAGGGCAATCCCCCCCCCCCCCAGTTATTTGGTAATGACCTGTTTATTAGAGTTGCTGCTATTGTTTGAAGAACAAGGTAGAACCTTGTTTCTGGGATGCAGTAGGAATTCAAGTACTAAATGCAGGAATAAGCTAAGACACAGAGGCACAATCTTTATCATGGGCAGCAAACAGCTGAGAACATGGCAACTGGCCTAAAAGATGGTGTCGACTACAAAACATCAGCTTTTCCTTCTGGTTTATGGTTAGAGGATCAACGGTTCAATGATTCCTTTCTCATCAACTCAGAAAGTCATGCTAGCAAGGGATTCCTGTTTATGACCTTCAATTTTCATCATCTCTTTGACCTTTTGCAGACGAATGTCATCCGCATCTCCTATTTGTTGTGGGCCCAAAGTGGATATAATAAAGAAAAAAGTAGTTTTGCCAACCATCACATTTCTTCATGGCACCAACTACTTAGATGTCAGTCGGCCTATGATTCCTTTGGGAGAGTGGAGAATAATTAGCCAGCCAACCAAGACTTACCCTCTTCCCTGTCTTGTAACCATCTGCTTCACTTTGGACTCTCCTACGTCTCTCTTCCTCCCAGCTCTCACTTTTCCTTCACTGAAACATTAATGATGTCTATAAACTCTTTCTAAACTAAGGTCAGGTACTAAAGCAAGTTTCCTGGCTTCAGGTTCCAATCATTGACAAAAATATATATAGTGCAGAGTTCAGCATGATTATATGGAATACGCAGTTTAAAATCTTGGGCCTGCCTGATGACTACAGATAATTCCATAGCAAGTCTAAAGTTCCTAAATGACCAGCGGGGTTATATATAAGTTCAAACATAAAGCAGTGAACGGGTCATCCTGGATGTGCAAAAATGGCAGTGTCATATATGTTAGCATCATACACTGAGGGCTTGGATGTCCGGACCCAATGAGACTGTGAGTAAGGCTTTATCTGTGCAGTTGGGATCTTAAGAACATTATTTGGCTGCAGACTCCCCATTCTGAACTGTTATGCCATATAGTGTACAATATTGTACATATTGTAGCATGAGATTTTTCTCTTAAATTTTGAACTAAATCTTAAATCTATGTAGTCATATTATAAATGGACATACATATATCAATACATATATATATTTACATCTGTGTAAATATGTACACTTATATATTAATTATAACCTAACTATCTGTGTATATGTATATATTTACAGATAGAATACACACCTAAAAAGATCAAGAGAAGGCACAGTGTAATACTCAAAGGGCATACATTTTGGATTAGTCTATCATTCAGGGTCCTTTCAATAAGGTAAATGTAAGGTAAGGATCATCTCCCACCACACGTTATAGTGCTGAGCATAGGAGATTAGCCTCTAACAAAATCCTTATTATGTAGGTTTTACATTAAACTGATAACTTGGATGCTTGGATGTCTATGGATGCTGATACTGTTGACAGCTAACACTCTAACCTGTGATGACTGGTTCTTTTTCAGTATGTGGATGAAGAGGACCTCATGAATGTCATCAAGGGTTTCAGCTCAGTGACAAAGGAGCACACCACCTTCACCGACACCCAGCTGTGAAGGATGGAAACTGCTAGACAAAAACCATGATGTCTGTTCCATGGGGGTCATCTCTCATGACACCTCACAAATGCTAAAAAGTTACTGTTTGCTATTCTGTAATCCTTCAATGAAATGGAGGTTCATAGAAATTCCCCCCACCCTATAGAGGCCTCAGAAATGTTATTTTTCTGGTTGTCTGAAGAACAGGGAATATCCACATGAAAATATCCACTTTGCTCTCTTCCTTCTATGGAAGTTAAAGCAGAATGCCTTAACTCTTGGATTAAGAGGATCATAAGTGGAACTGTTAAGACAGCCCCCAGTTGTACAAGTGAGGTCATTGGTTTAAAAATGAAGCTGTTTTTCTAGTAAGATGTTACTGCTGCTTCTTTCAAACCCCTGTTTCCATAAAAGTTACACCATCCTGTAAGTTACTCCAGTGACTATAGCTGCAAAACAAAACCCCATTTCAGACCACACTGAGTCGTCTAGAAAACACACACCCTGCATCAAGGCCATACACCTGGCTGAGGCCCTTTTTAATTACAATGACTGACAATTAACATTCTCCAAACTTACTGATAGAGCACCACATAAACATCAATAAATGTCCATGCCGATGGCTATGAAATTTCTGAAAAAATAGAATCAAGGACTAAACTGCTAAAAACAGGTAATTTTTTATATTTCAAAGAGAAACAAGGTATTTTAATAGAGACACCTCTGCTTGGATTTTTTTTTTATTTCACCTAGCTTAGTTTTCAAACTCTAGTCTACTTTTCCTAAAATTCTACCATTTCACTGAGTACTGCAGAACAGTTACATTTCAGCTTAGAATATTTCACCTGGAAACTTCAATTTGAAGAATTTAATGAGCCTACTGGAATCTAAAAAAGATTTTTTTAATTTGTGCTCCTTCTGGTTCTGAAATTATTGAAAATAATTTAATTGGAAATACAAGTTCACCCCTTTACTTGTATACATATGACTCGTTTGCTCTGTTCTTACTCCCCTTCATTTCAGAGAATGACTGTGTTAGCCCAGGGTTTTGTCATCTGCTCTACTCAGATTACAAAGTTGGTGAAATTTCTATATCAAGAAACATGTTCAGGTCATCAACATAAAAGTATTTAAATTTGTTCTTCATGGAAAACAGTGTTAAGAAACTGTCTTTCATTCTTAAAGACTGCAAGAAGGTGTTTTCTTTTATAGCCAATAAAGCTACATATAGAGCTATCTGGCAAAATTTTGAGAATTTGCATGTAGAAGATGAGCATTTTCCCAAAGCTGAGTTGGCAAAAACTTGTAAATTATGAGATCATTTTACTGACTCTGTCTGAAAACTGTGAATGATTCCACTGTCCAGCGTCATGTAGATAGTGGATTAGGGCAGATGGAGACTTTACCCAAATCTGTAGAAGAGTCAATCCTCAGATTGACCAACTCCCAGGTGAACCTTGCCAATGTAAGTGTCAAAAATACAGGCCAATGCCAGGCATACGCTCTGCTTCCTGGCTCAGCCGCTGTCAGCAAACACGTCCGAAATCACCGTGGATGTTTGGCAGAAAGCAAACATAGTATGTTCTTTCATCGCCAAAAGTTTTTTACTTTCAGAAATATGAGCATAGGATTGTCTGGCTTCCTTTCATTCACAGGTTTGAATTCCCGTGTGTGGGTTCTGGGACAATGAATTGCACCAAATTAGTACAGATGAGTTTTAAGACAGGTTCTGTGTCACATGAGCCAAGGTTTGTAGGAAAGAAGAGCCCTTTGCTGTCGCAAACTTGCATCCTTACTCTTAGCCTGAAGAGTAGCTGCAAGGAAGATTTGACAGTACCTGTGGAGTCAGGAGATTATATTTTTATTCCCATTCTTGAAAAATGAGCTAAATACCTGTATACAGAGTAAAACTTTAAAAGAGCGCAGAGAACTGCAGGCAATTTTATCTTAAATCGATATCCACTGAGTCGTCCAATTAGATAGACATTTGTGAGTTACTACCTGAATTCCTTTAGAACAGCCATACTCGTGAATCCCTGAGCTCGCTGAAGTCAGAGCCCGTCTGGCTTCCAGGCAGAATGCTGCTCCCACCCCGCCCCATGCCACCACCAGTGCTGGTAGGCTCAGCTGCGCTTACTCAGAGAAGCCACCATGTGTGTTGCTGCTTTAGGCGGGAGTGTGTGCCAAGCCTCCACAACACACTAGCCTCTGCCCTAGAGATTCTGGCTGATGTTGTCTGGGCAGGGCTGAGGCATCTGTACCTTAAAAGTTTCCTGGTGCCCCTGGTGCAGCCAAGCAGCACTAACACGAGGCACCTGGCTGGCCCCACTTGCAAAAGCAGGGCACTGTGCCCAAGACCTGGGTTCTCCTTCTCCTGACTCCTTGTCTCACTCCTTGTATAGATCACATGCTCAGCTTGATTGAAGAGCTGCTGTGTTTCAGTATTTCTAATGTTAACTGTTTGGTAAGAGTGTATAGCTATGGGTTTGTAAGTTCTGCTGGGAATGGTTTATAGAGCTGTCATTTTCAGTAAATGGAAAACCTAAGTATGAACCTTTTGTGGTACCTTTCAGTGATCTAAAAATCATGTTGGTATCAATCGAATTCAACCTATGTAAATAAAACATAGGTCAGGTGGAAGAATTCAGTGACAAGGAACGTAATTATGTCACCTATGAATAGTTTATTTCCAATGCACAGGTATGTAAATTAATTTAAAGATGGTTTGCTTAATAAATATTTAAATGTGAACCAAGTTGGACTTAATATCTTTATGAAAGAATACTCTAACAGCTGAGTTGTATTTACAATTTACACATAAATAATGATGAAAAAGGTAAGCTCAGTAATGAAAATGGAATGTTCTGGAGCATGTTCTCCCCACTATCAATGTTCATTAGAATCAATCGTGGTGCTTTGTTCAAAATGTGAGCTCCAATCCCCAATTTCCAATTTAGCAGCTCTGGGGGAGACCTGGAAGAGACAGCAGCTTCTGAAACAGGCAGAGCTGCTCAAGAGCTGGCCAGTAGCCTAGGGACCTGGTGGGGAGCCCGTGACTGCTCCCCAGTAGGCCTCAGCACTTCACTGTGAAATAAGGGAGCAGTATCCGTTGTGCTCACTTGACAATACTCAAGCTCCTTTGAAATTAATACCAAATTACTTGAAGAAACTTTCTTCGTGTGACTTGCAGTTTTGTTCCATTTTTTTCAGCCACACAAGATACATAGATTCAAGGAAGTGTTCTTGTTTTTAGTCACAAAAATCTGAAGAAGTAGGTATAATGAGAAACACAGGCTGACAGCAGGAAGAATCTGCTCGTCAGTAAGGGTCAGAGTAGACTTGCCACACCAAGGTTTACACTCTTGATTTTTAGGAAAAGAAGTTAGATTCTACTTGCAGTGCAGACAGTAGTTCATGTCATGTGAATTTGCCTTCCTAAGGGGCTTTACTAATATTGTCTCTCCCACCCTGCCCCCTCCACATTTTACTAAAAATATTCCGTTTTTTTCTCTAATTCTCTTACTTGCCTACCTAATATTAATATGACTGTGAAAATGAGAAAGGTACATGAGAACATTACAATTCATAGCAATATTGAAATTATGCTTTGCCTAACATTTTCTCTCACTGATAAGTTATTATCCAGCTGTTTTATGTTCTCCCTCACCCTGCCCCCTTTTTATCATGAAAGGAAGCAAAGTCTTGAACCAACTCAGGTAGGGGCACTTTCAACTTAAGGAACTAAAAACACAGTCTTCAATATTTTTATTTTATCGATAAGAGAACTGTTGTGAGACTGGGAATAACTGAAAACACACAGTCTTCAATATTTGTATTTCATTTAATTGATAGATACAGAGAACTGTTGTGAAACGTAACCATCAAAGGTGGGGTTGCTATGCTGCTCCCACACCCCAACACACACACACACACACACACACACACACACACCTTTGCTCATCAGCTACACCTGAACCTCCTAGAAACCATCTAGGGCTATTAGGACCCAATTCAAGAACAAAGAAGTTCTTTGGTGCCCTCCCTCCCCCAGCCTGCAGAAGACTCACCTGAGCCTGCACAAGGAGCCTCACCTGAGCCTGCGTGGTGCACGAGGAGCCTCTCACCTGCCCCTTTATATACCCCTTCACATGGTGATTGAGTGATCACCTGCAAATGCGCCTGGCTTGCTGGGCTGCCCCTGTAACATCCCCGAATTTGGGGCCTCCTCTGAGCTCCCCTCCACTCTGCTGCCACTCTGACTCATCAGCTACCAAAACATGTGGGTCTCTGAGGGTGGAGGAGCCCTGGGCACCCCAGCTTCCCCAGGGTCTGTAAAGGAGCCTCCAGACACCACCACTCTGGCTGAGAGAGCTACCTGCTCATTGGGACAGGTGAGTAACCCGGGGTGCCAACCCCCTCAACACTCTTCTGGGTGCTGGTGTGGGCTCTGTAGCCCGCTTGTGACTGTGACCCAGCCAGGGTGGGCTCTGGGAGTGGGGTCACGGCGTCTGTCAGGGTGGGCTCTGGGAGTGGGGTCACGGCGTCTGTCAGGGTGGGCTCTGGGAGTGGGG